AGAGGCAAGTCCATTGGCGTGCCCTTCTTTTGCCTGTGGATCTGGCCGTTAAATGTGAAGGAAGTCCTGAGACAGAGTTCTGGGGGTTTTATTGTACGTCCTCGTTCGAGTTGTTGGTGGGTCTCACCCTTCCACACTTCGGGGTTAGGTATGACTGCCTGACAACGGCTAATAAGCCTGAAATGGCCATTCCAGTCTTCCTTATTTTTGCGCGCGCCGCTGTGCGGCTGCCGGTTGAACTTGAGAGAGAGAGCCTTTAATGCAAAACGTCACGTGCAATTCCGTAATAACTATCGGTAAGCGCCCTTCTACCAAAGCACGCAACGGTCTGATGGCAGTTTGTCGTAAACGTATGCTTACGAAGGAGGTGGGCTAACTCATGAAATGCCAACCGAAATTCCGAAATGCGGCAATTAATCCAGACAGAGGCGAGCCCATCGGTGCCCCCTTCTTCCGCTCGTAGACTTGGTCGTTGAATGCAAAGAGGGTCTTAAAACACAGTTTTAGGAGCTCGATGATGCGTGCTCGTTTGAGCTGTTGGTCGGTCTCATGATACTTTTCCCGGAGAAGGCCGTCAATAGTGTCGACAGCCAGCGCGGATGGGCTGGGGGTGAACAAAGAGACCACGTCCAATGACACCATCAACTCGTCTGCCTCTAATTCGATATGCTGGATGCGCGTCAGAAACTCTTCAGCCGACTTTACTTTCCACGCTGAATCCTTGGTATAGAGGAAAAGTCGCTGGTACAGTCACATTGACAATCCACAGATTGAATTGCCACGTACTGAGAGGCTTGGGCGTGAGAGCACACCCGGCTCGTGGACCTTCGGCAGGCCGTAGAGGCGCGCCATCAGTGGCTTTCGTGGCTAGCGCTTCCCTTCTCGTGAGGGCTCTCGCTTTCCTTAGCCTGCCGATCGCTTTGTTTACGCAATTCACAAGCTTTCTGGACTCATTGGCATTAGATGGCACGTACGATTCCTTGTATATCAGGAGATTTTCCCGTTTTGCCCAGTACTCGGCCTGACCCATGGCGACCGTCGAACGTCCCTTGTCGGCGGGCAGTGACGGTACCCTCCATTTTTCGTGTTCTCAGAAGTTATGCGTCCTCGACTTTAGGGGTCGCCATCTGACGTTTGTGTTGGGAGAGTAATGCCCACACTTATTGCTGCATTGTGTTTTTGCCCAGATGCATTACGAAAGGCCGCTGTTCTTATCTTTCCGTCTACCATCTTCATCGAACAGAAAGAAGCCGAAGTCTGGAGCTCGCGATCCCCTATCTGAAAAAACGTTTTAGTGACAACGGCAAAACCCTCAAAAACATTTTTGGATTGGTGTGGCTCGTAAACCAGAATACATAATCAGAGAGCAAATCATGAAGCCCGAAAAACTCGCTACCAGTTGCAGGACAATCAGTTGTGGTCTACAGCATACCGTGCCGAAATTGTGATGTGCAGCCTGTTGCTGAAACGGGAAAACGCCTTACGACACGCCTTCATGAACACTGACTTGCAATCAGTCTCAAGGATAAGCTGTCTCTGGTCTCTGGTCTTGTTCTCCTCCTCAGCGGAGTTTCTTCCCTCTCCTACCTATGCAGTGCCATGCGATCCCCCCTCCGAGGAAGAAGTCGCCGATGCCATACGAAAGTTGCGCAACAATAAGGCACCCGGAGAGGACGGTATACCCGCTAAAATCTTTAAGTCTTGTGTCGACACTCTGGCGCCCTGGTTCCATGAGGTGATTGAACGCGCGTGGAGAGACGAAGTTGTTCCTGATGACTGGGGCTTAGGCATCCTTGTACCTATCCTCAAGAAGGGAGATAGGACGAGGTGCGAGAACTACCGCGGCATAAGTCTAATCGACGTTGCTGCGAAGATCTTCGCTATTGTCCTACTCGGACGATTCCAGGCTGTGCGTGACTCAAGGACGAGGCCTAACCAAGCCGGATTTCGTGCTGGACGTGGATGCGCAGATCAGATATTCACACTGAGGCGCATTCTCGAATTTCGCCATAGCTACCAACAACCGACGGCCGTCTGCTTCGTTGACTTTGCCGCCGCGTTCGATTCCGTTCACCGTGAGTCCCTGTGGCGGATAATGGCGCTAGATGGTGTACCGGCCAAAATCATCGCCATGATCAAGGCCTACTATCGTTCCACTACTGCGAGAGTCCTGGTCCGTAACAATTTTTCCCAACCGTTCGGTATTCGGTCTGGCGTCCGACAGGGTTGTATACTGTCACCCATACTGTTCAACTACGCTATTGACTGGATCCTCGGGAGGGCCCTACGCGACAGTGACGGTGTTGAATTTGCACCCGGACATCGACTGACTGATCTCGACTATGCCGATGATATCGCCTTACTTGCTTCAAGTTTTGGTGATCTGCAATCTATGGTGTCACGAGTGAACGAAGTCGCTAAATCAGTCGGTTTGTCCATAAACGCTGGGAAGACCAAAGTATTCTCAAGCTGCATCCCTGACCAGGAGAAGGCACCCCTGGGGATTGATGGCTGTCAACTTGAAGAAGTGGACAATTTTAAATACCTCGGGGTGCGGCTGCTGCCTAATGGACAGAGTAAGGACGACATTGTCTCCCGAATCGATGCTGCCCGCTGGGTTTTTTCAAGCCTTCGGAAATGCCTGTGGAACCGACGTGACCTCTCCATCGCCACTAAGATTCGCGTGTACCGTGCATCTGTCCGGTCTGTCCTTCTCTACGGTTGTGAATGCTGGGCTTTGCGTGTGGCGGATGAGCGAAAACTGGAGGTATTTGACCACCACTGCTTGAGGATCATCCTTCGAGTGAAGTTAACCGACTTCGTCTCAAATGAGATAGTCCGCGCTCGCTGCGACAACATCGCGAGGATAACTCAGGCCATCCAAGAAAGACGACTGAGGTGGTTCGGGCATGTTCTTCGTCGTCCACCTCAGGAGCTCAGTGTTACTGCCCTCGATCCGGCACCGTTGCCCAATTGGAGGCGTCGAAGAGGGGGTCAGTTCAAAACCTGGCTCGACACTGTCCGTCAAGACATGGAGGTGGTTCTTGGACCTTCGGTATTCGGTCTCCGTGGTTGGCGAAGGGAATGGGTTGAACTGTCTGGATCTGCGGCCGCGGATCGTCACGCGTGGAGAGGTACAATTCGGGACATCATCGAGGCCGGCTAGATCAGACATGATCGCAGTCGTATCAAGTACAAGTACAAGTCTCTGGTCTATGGCGGCATACAATAGATGAACCAGTCCCGACTTTGAGAAGGCAAGGGGGATCGGTCGCACGAATAAAAAGATGGCCAGATTGGTGCTCCAAAGTTGGTCCCAAATTGCCCCCCCTCCCCCACCTATATTTAGACCTGCATTCCGCTCACCAAGCGCTATACACAAGTTCCCGGTTGGTTCGGACAAGGCCAATAAAACACGTGGAGTCGAGAGCCGACACTCACGGAAGAGAAGGTAGGGACGGCCGGAGATCATGCAGCCAACGAAGCTGAAAGCGAATCGCGCGAACGCCAAAGACTGACCAGTTCACCGACTGACGTAAGGGAGGTCAACAGGCACGCTGACTTCGCCGTAAAGGGGACAAAGACCACACGAGTCCGCGGAAGTCAACCTCAAAGAGGTCAAGGCTAGTTAGCAACAAACGAGCAGGTCAAAGTTCGTGTGCGAGCGCGGCTATAATATGAGGCGCACGACGAGGTATAATAACCCGGCACCAGCAGCAACAGCAATCATACCACTCTGACAATGGACGCAATGAAATTTCCGAAACGTCAGTACGAATACAATTTGACTCATGAACTCGCCTCCTCTTCTCCTTCGGGGGATCTTAAACGCGTTATACATACTTGAAATTGATGAGATTCTTTGGGAACAGAGTAACATTTATTGCGTACATTTTTGAGACTGGTTCCCCAGCGCGTCATCATACTTATGGGTCATGTACAAAAACGGCTAACTATTTAGCCGTGTCGAACAAGTTATTCTGTGGTTGGCCGAAGCCTGCGTCAATGCGCGTTAATTGCATTTCGCCATCCCCTCGGCATTGATTGTGCTTGCTTCCATTCCAGTAACTGTTTTTATACATGACCAATAAGTCTGATGACGCGCTGGGGGACCAGTCTCAAAAACTGCTAGCAATAAAATTTATTTTGTTTCCAAAAAACCTTGCTGATTTCAAATGGCATAGGTGCTAGCTAAAAGCTGTCGTCGGCTAGTCTCGCCCAATCCCAGGTCTGGAAGACTCGGGGCTCGAGTCCGCATCCTTTGGTCCTCGACCGTTAATAAATCCAAAGTCCCGGTTGCAATCAGGAGTACCAACTGTGAAGAAAGTAAGTGTGATCTACCAAAGGAAATGCTTTGCCGTGTTAAATAATGGCGAAATGTGCCGCAACAGGACGCAACCGTCCTGCCTTACAGAGATGGCTTGAAAAACATCGAAATCTTCGACAGCTGGTGCTTTCGAAAAATACAACGGCTTTGGCGCGCGGATTATGACACAAATCCTGAACTCCATCGCCGACTGGGGACACCACTTTTCGACGACGTTGCGATAAAAAGGCGCCGTCTAAGATTGTTTGGTCACGCACTCTGCCAAGCCGAGATAGCCATTTTCCCCTATTTTCTGTCCGAATTAACATTGCCGCCAAGTAAGAAGGGAGGAAACATGCGACTAAACTCAACATGGAAAGGGATGCTGGGCCACAGCGTCTTTGTTGTTTGAGGATGGGGCACCAAATAAAAGAACGATCGCAGCGTATCAGCTACAGTAGTTTGCGCTGCCAGGCACTTGGAAGTCGGCTAAACCAGCGCTGGTGTCAGCTGCGACAGGAACACCTTAAAAACGAACGTTTGCAGTCCTACGAGGACTCCACTGCTAGTGCATTGTGAGAGTTTAGGAGCGCGTTTGATTGTTTTGTGTGAAGAAACCACGCGCCCTGCGTGTCCTCCGGTCTGAGTGACGACGATATTGAGCGCAGGGACCAACGCGGCTTACAACTTCTGTCTAACGCATGTCAGGAGCGTGTATGGCTATATCTAGGGACGCCAGCAAACGCGGCGCGGCCAGTCTAACGCATGAGATGGGGCAATGTGGCTCTGCCTTCTTGACCCAGCTCAACAGGTTGGGCATTTTCACATTCAACAGTCTGAAATTAAAAGAAATGCAATGAGAATTCTACTTACACCTCTTCCCTGTATAATTGGCGGTCGCCCTCAATCTCTTCGACCGGTTTCAGTTTCCTTCCCTGTCGAGAAAGGCGCTTGATTTCGCGTTCAATGCGTTTGGTTTTCCGTCGAATGCGCAACTGTTCCTGTTGTGGATCAACGCGTTTCTTCTTCTTCGGCGGCTCAGCCCTAAAGCGCTGACTAGACGAACCAATAAGGCTTACTGGAGTATCGATCCAAGGTGCAGACTTCGTACACTGCCAACTAGAAGGCTCTCGACAATCTTGAACGGAGCCAGAAATCTACGAGGGTAATGTAGGGGAAATGCAAGCAGTACCTGACAGCCGAGGCCAACATTGGGGTCGAAGAGACGGGCTGAAGCAAAAAAGAACACAGAGGTCAACATAATCGCGCCTCCCTCCTAATGCATCAATATGGAGTCGGAGAATTAACTAGTTCCGAGGATCTCTGCTGATTCACACAGCTGGCATGGGTGTCGGGAGGAGAGGGGGGGCTGTTAATTAAATTATGTCCAGCTTGAGTCTGTGAGGAGCTTCATATTTCCAGAGAATCACAAATGATAACATCATTATACGTATACAGACAAAAGTGACGAACAAGGTTCTTCCGAAATATTCACCGATTAAAGAGCGGCATCTAAAAAGATCGACGACTGCCACTTTTAGAGACCGGAAGCCAGGGGAATGTGGTGGAATGAGCGGCTATTCGGTTTGGCTAACGAAGTTAGTGACTAGTATGCGAACAAACTAACCAACGCTTGCGGAAAGGGCGCCAAGTTAACGCTCGTAGGTTGTGTTGCCTGAGTGCAGTAAACCTCAGTCTTTTAGCTCTGGTAGCTCAGATCACGTCTTGACAGAGTTCCAACTTGGAGAACGGACGTTAGGCAGTCACGCCGAGATCAAAATGCTCCTGATGTGACTAAATTCGATCACGAAAATGAACCGACGCAAACCTAAAACGTGAATTTTTCCGGCGGATTTTCCTTTGGTCTTTGCGATCTGCTACTGTTAGGCACGACGAGTTGAAAGGAGATTCCAGTGTCACCTATGAGGAAGATTGCTGACATTAATTCAAAAAGTACCAACACCTGATTACGAGTTTATCAACGCGGGAACCTAAGTCATTCGTGGCGTTGCGCATGCAACATGGAGCATATTTGCCTTTGTGACCAAGTACGTGTATCCGTATGAGTTAGAAGATATCTATTTTCCAGAAACGGACATATGTTGTTGACGACTATAGGCGGTGGCAACGTCCAAATAAGAGTGTTTACGAGAAGTTTACGCTTCTCTCAAACAGTCAATTCCTCTGTCTCGCGCCAATTTCTTTGATTGCTTATATGCGGCAGACTGGTACTGCCTTCGCTGCATGAGGTGGGAGCAACTGGTCGAAATGACCGTGTAGTTCGTGCGAAGATACCGGTTTTCGTCGGACCGCAATGTGCAGGACCAGTGACAAAACAGCCGCGCAGCAGCTTGCCTTCTTTCGTGAAAAATGATCAGAGACAACGGAGGCAGAGTTGTAGCATACATTGATAAGTCGACGGTAACACAGTAGAAATGTAATGACGATTGCGTGGCGAAAGAGTGGGTATTTTGAATGTATGACAGGTCAACGCGGACGGGTGACTTTGAATATGTTATAAGGCACTCAGCAGTAGCGTTGACCATCATTATCCGCAAATGCGTTAAACCGAGAAACATTGTTGCTTCGGGCAAGTGGAGCGATTGCAAGTCCTTGAAGCGATCATGTTGTAATCGCTTGACCATCATTATTCAGCCAACTTCATGGAGGTGATGGAGAGAGGTCAGTTTTCCCATTCATGTGCACAAGCAGAACGTCTAGACAAAGTCCAGTACTGGGTTTGATTCTACGTGTAAGGCCGGAGTCTCGTTGTTAAATAGAGCAATTTTCTCGCTCATTAGGTGTTCGTCATAGGTGCTGTTAACCATTTCCCCTTTTTAAAGCATTAACAATGCACATGAAAATGATGTTAACCGCATTCTTCTGCACCTAGAAAATAGCGAAAACCTGTGGATCGCCTATCCTAGAAGGACTGTGACGTGGGAAGCAAGTTAAAAGTTTCCTCGACTTTCCCGACTGGAGTAAAATGTGGCTGGTATTATATCTAAACAGACACTATATAACACGTCTACATGTTTGATTTTGCCGACAGACAATTATGGTCTTTCGAAAATGTTGTTCTTTTGGAGACTACACCTCCGTCAGTTCATGGGCCGAAGACAGCATCTGCCCACCACATATAAATATTTACTCGGAAAAATTATTAGAAGGCAGAAAGAGTGAGTTGGGCTATTTCCCGACTCACTGTGTGGGCGATTAGATCATCTACAGGGTGCAAAGTTCATGCGAACGCTGTGAAAACCCAGCCTAACTTATTTCTGTACTTTTCTTCGAGTTATTGCAATTAAATGATTTTCGGCTACTTTATTCTGTGCGGATAGTCAATCGGCGGTCCTAACAGCCCATCGTCCGCAGCAAACACCACTCACGGGAATAAATGGCTCAGTGTAGCTCCTCATAGTGATTTTAAATCTTCCCTTTTCCTGGCAGGGCGGCTTGTGGAAGGTTACATAGTATGTTCGTGTGATTCGGATTCGTTAAATACGCCTAACAACTTCGTGGTCGTAGTCATTCGGAATGGGAAAAACTTCGAGGACACGGTATCGGCTGAGGCAAATAACTTGTGGCAACCTCAGCGGTTCATGCATTGTGCCAAAAGTAACTCCCTTTCATGCATAAACTGGGCGTCATAACTCCAGAAAGGCATTGGGCATTGGTAGACCCACCGGTGAGCGCGGCCTCCTTAAAGCATGAGTGCACTCTGGGCAGCTTTTGAATTGCGGGGACACTTAACCGGGACGAATTAATAATGAGCATGAAAGGATGCCAATCCGACAATACAAAGTGGGGTTCGGGGCGAAAACCGACCATTTGGTGGGACTTAGCGTATTTTCTTGGATAAGTTGAAATATACCCGGCATATATAGTAGAACTTACTGTGTTGAACTACTTTCCCCTGCTTTATTCCGCACACTAAAATCGTAGTGTACGGAAAGTAGTGCTGTCACAGCTAATCGTAGAGGAAGAGGAAGACGCCTCAACAGGGAAGTGGACTTTAAACGCGCCCCTCTGGAACCATTGCGACTAAGGCCATCATATCTGAGAGACTTGCAGTGACCTATCATGATGGGCCATGATAGCTTTGTAGCAGTTAAGGACCGTCAACCTTTTGGGTTTGCGACGGGCACATCCACCAGCTCATCTAGTAGTTAAATTTTCTCTATAGAGCTATTTTATCTGATATAAGCTAAAGACGTAGTCAATGCCGTTGATGTGTTAAAGACGGCAGAACGTCAGATGGAACACGCACGTACTGCCAACCTTTCGAGTCTATGAAGAGTATGCCCACCAATTATCAGGTGGTTTAATCTCCCCTATACAGCTAATTTATCTGGCCCAATTTATTCGGTCATAAACCCATTCACGTTGTTGAAGTGCAAAAGACGACAACGGCGGACGAAACACGCACCACAAGTACCTGACCTGCCCTGGGAAGTTTCAGCGTAGTAAAAGTCATCCAATATTGTGTATAGGGTGTTCGTAAACAGACATAGAACAAAAGTATATTGTTGATTCACGATTTACTGATCAAAACGCCAGATTGGCGTGTAGGAATAGTTTCATCAGATACCAAAAGTTTCATACTCTACACGGTAAGTGCTGGATTGCCTGACATGAATCAACATCCAAAACTACTGCGGCATTGGAAATGGAGTTAAATGAAACTATCTCTACGGAGGCGAAAACGTAAGTTGACATTCGCGGCGGCACTGCATAAAGCACAATTTTATAGAAAGGCCGAAGAAAACAAACTTATGCTTGAAGCCACACCACAAACTTCCGACCACGCGCAACTTATAAATCATGTTAAGACACTTCCCAGAAGTCAACAGATTAAACCAATAAATGGGCATATGTGATTTAAAATGTTTTTACTTAATATTTTGTTAGGTGAATAGTCGAGGGACTCAACATATCCAGACCTACTTGAGTGTAGAGGGAAAGAATTGCTAGTAAATAGGTAAAGTACTTATGAATTTATACTGTTCGGTTTAGATTTTCGGTTTACGTTTGAGCGGGCTAGGCGAATACTTCTATCTTGCGAAAGCACGATGCAGTTGACACCGATCACTCTTTTCAATGGGTATGTAGATTATTACATGTGTCCGAGGACATTTCTTATCGCATTCAAAATATATAGGATGACCAAAATGTAATTACGAATGTGGGAAGCGCATCTAGGTCAGTATAGGTCAGTATATTTTAAGAGTAATAGGCAATGCCTTTGAAAACCCTATTGTAAACGGTACATGCAATATCTCACTATAAATAGACATGGTACTGAAATATTGTCAGTAATATACACATTTAACATAATATTTTCCGCGAAAATGTTGAACCAAAATTTTAGAACATTCAGTTGTAGATGATTTCAGTAAAATGTAATGACGGTCATCCGCATCAGCGGTATGGGTATGCAAGGCGTTGGTTAAGCACCACAGAGCTCTTCTATTCAGGCAAGCGATAGTGTCCAAGCAAATATGCATCGAGTCTTTGCTTGAACGTCTCCGTGGTATCCGCCATTATTACGTCCTCGGGAAGCCCGTTCCAGGCACCGACGACTCGTTGTGAAAAACAGTATTTGCGAACGTCCAGGCGGCATCGGG